GAGAGTTCTGTTTTCTGCAGAGAACCCAGCTGATTTGAAAATAAATACAGGGGAGATATATAGCAACAAAGAATAAATGTTTATTTTCACATGTGCAAAACTCAAAAAACCAAATAGTCTCAAAATGTCTCCCTGTCTGTGGTCATTCAGTAGCAAGCTCACTGTCTGTTCTTTTTTTTTAAATTAGCTTAATACTTAGGAAGGTAGCAAAGCCATGTGAAGTTCTGACAAAAAAACCTTGGTCAAAATGCTGTTTTGTAGTACTATTCATCTAGGCAAAGTGAAGTTTAAATTGTGAAATGCACAGCCAAATACTGACAGGTTTGATCTTGCTCAGGCATAAATGGGTAGATTGTTTTCAGTAGTTGGGGTCTTTCTGATTAGATAATTTGTTCATGCTTATTTGTCAAAATGAGAGATTTTCAAAGGAAAGTTTCAAGTTTCCTTTGTCAGGAAAAGTTTCTTAGCTGTGTTTTGTAGTTACAAACATGGGTAAAAGAGAATAGGTAGACTTGGTCCAGCCTAGAAGAAGGGTAACAGACTCAGAACAGGTGAGATCTGCCTGGAAGTGGCTGCTGTCCCCAGTCCACTCAAACAGTTCATATCATGACCTGCAGAACCATGGATCTATGATCTGTTTATCAATTTATTTGTTCCTTTTGCTTTTTCTGCTATGGTTTCTCCTTTCTACTCACATTTTACAATGGTGTTTTTTTTTCCCCACAAAGGTTGTCTTTTTTTAACCTTTTTTTTATCTCTTTCTTTTTTTTTAAATAAAGTGATTTTGTCTTATCCCAGCACACAGCAGCTAACTTTTACAAATTTTTGATAAGCCTTAGGGGTTCAGAAAAGGTTTCTTGCCCTCGTTCAAGTCATTCCCCTTGCCTCCGAATGCAGGGAACTTGCATGTGCTTAGTGCTGGGATGTCAGGTCAGCTCCTGTATATTCAAACCCGTGTTTTGTGAGTTCTCTCTAGCACAGCTCTCAAAGATGAGGAAAACCTCCAACCCAATTTAAAGTTCCAACAGATCTCTGTGGTGGTTAGAAACAGGTATTTGCCCTCCCTTCCCTGCTGAAGATTCACTTACAGAACACCAAAAAATTCAAGACCCTACTTAGAGCATGTACAAGGTTTTCTGAAGAAAAAAAAAAACAAAACAATCCAAACCCTGTAAAGAGCCCTTACATTTTGTTCATCTTGGTATTTGTGTCTGCTCTTTTGGCAGAGAGCTCTAATTGTCAGGGACACAATAGGCTGTGCTCTTACCTATGATTAATAGACATGATCTTTCCAGAATGATAAATGCAGGCAGGTAAAGTCTCTGTGACTATATCTACATTACATCATAGATTATCAAAAGCTCTCCAATGTGGACATGATAATAAGCATCCATGATGTCTAAAAGTGCTGGCTAAGAGTTCCTAATTCTAGAATTCAATTTTCATGATTTTTTTGGGGGGATATCCTCCACAACATTGAAATTCAGTTTCTTAGCTGTTCAGTTCTTTGTTCTGGGGACTTGCCCCACATTCCTCTTTGAGATTCCCCTTAGGCAGGAAGAGGGATCAGTGCCCTGAGCAGCAGGAGAGTGTGGAGCTACAGAAATGTGCACCATCCCCAGTGTGGTTTTTTGGGGGGTGAAGGGGGGACAAATGGACCTTCCTCACAGAAATCAGCAACCTTTTCTTGCTCCGCTGCCACAGTGGCACCACTGCTACAGCCCCTCAAGGGAAGTATTTGGAACACTATTGTCCTTTTTTTTCTGATAGCAACATTTCAGCAGGCTGAAGCCCTCTGACAGTTACTGTAGCAATGAACTACCACTAGTAAAGTATCTCATGCCATCCAGTCAGGAGGGGAAGAATAGTGGTTGCAAATGATTAAGACCACCCATAAAAGAGATTGAGAAGTTGCAAATGCTGTGGTATCTCAGATGCACAGCACCTCACTACTACACAAGGGGAAACATCTGTAGTAGAGATGGGACATTCAGAAACGTCCAGCAAGTTTTTCAGATGCTCTTGCAGCCCAACATTTAGGCCACACATCATGAGCAGATCTCTCCACTGTGCATCATCATACACAGAAACACTGATTTGTTGTCATGCAGTGGTGTAGTTTTTTGTTGATAGCAGGTTAATGGCATTTGACAGTAACGATTCTGGAGATTTCTTTCCTTTTTTTGGTGACATGGGTTATTTTTCCAGATGCACACGGCGTGGTGCTGAGATGTCTGCTCTGGTATTTCCTCAAACCACTGTGGAAGGTTTGGGGAGTCTGTTAGGAGGGGAAAGGAGCAGCTAACCTTCTCTCTATTTGCATGGGAGCCAATGACCAAGCAGGACATTTTGGTTTGCATACAGCTGTCTGAGGTAAGCTTTTAGATGAGGAAGTTTTTGATATTCAGATCCTGAGAAGGATTGTTTTCAGTGTATATATTGTGTAGCAGGCTGAGTAAGAATTAAATGTGGTGGAGAAACTTGTCATGAGGGTTGTATTTGCTTTTTTACCTTAACTTTGTGATAGACTTTCATCCAGAGCAGTAATGTCCAGAAAAGCTTTGCAGTAAAGGCTGGTCAGACTCTTAAATCTCTTCCTCTTAGACAATTCCACCTCTAAAACTACTGATAGTCTTTCTTACCTCTGCTTAAGATGAAAACAGACTACCCAGAGCTCAGGGTTTTGCTAGCTAAAAGCTCCAGCAAAGCTCACGTGAACCTGCTCGTATTTCAGGCAGGTCAGATTTGCCCAGGTACATCAACCCTCTGTTTTGGTGTCCCTGACAAGTGACACCCTTTTGGGGAGACCCGACATTTTTGTTCCACGTCCTTGAAGCTTCATAACCCACCAGAGCTTTTCTCTTCCACAGGGGCAACTGTTTTACCAAAGTACTTCACCTGGCAGACCCAAATTGGGAATTTGTAAAAACACGGAGCAGAAAATGGTCTGACAATGGTTGTCCCTCAGAAAAATGTTGGAGTCCGTGATTGGCTCTGTCTACTTTATAAGTCATGTCTCTTAAGACCTTTTATTACATCTGGATTTATAATCTATTTGTTTGGTAGGTTTCCTCCAAGACTACTAGTTGCTACAGATATCTACTCCCATTTTTGTATATGAACAACTCCTTATCTTGTAATACATGCACCCAAAATATGGGGAAATCCATCTCCTAAGTACTAATGATAACGACTAAGATGATAATGTTCAAACACAATTATTAAGCACATTTATTTCCACAAGGCACATAAGCCTTAGTATCTTTGGGTGCAGAGACAAGACATATTTAAATGGTTTTATTAACATGAATGAAGAGTCTCTTTCTAGTGTTAAATAACAAAAGGTGTAAAGAGTGAGAAGATAAATTATCAACAAATTGAGAATTTGGCAAGCAGAAGTACTGTCAAAGAATCAACAGGGGAGAGGAATCAAAAATACGAAAGAACTTCTGAAACAGCTGCAGGAAAATGCCCACTCTGAAGCCAGGTGAGAATTTCTGGATGACATATGCATGGAAGACCTAAGTAATTAATTTTTTATCACCTTGAGGAGATTTTAATAGGTTGGACAACTGTAGAAGACATTTCAGAAGAAGCTTCAGACTGGTCACCTGATTAAACATATTTAAGCACGTGTTTAAAGGACTTGCTGCCTTGGGATTTTAATTATTATGGACAATTTCCATGTGTGTGTTTGCTTTAACATTGTCTCCTGCTGGAGAACAGCTGGCTGCAAATGGGCTGGCAAGGTAAACAGAAACAGGCCTGCAATGCCCAGCAACTCAGACAAGTCTCATCACCAGCACAAATCTGTTGCCAACCTGACAAGCATGAAATGTCTCAGAAGGATCCACATTTCATAGCTGTTGTGCCTCGTGGACTGTGTCACAGGCCAGCAGCAAGATATTCAAGGCATGGTGACACGGTATTGTTGCACGTCAAATATTGGGGAAAGAACATAGATCGTGAACAAATAATTTTTCTTCTGAAATATGTAGATTAGTTTGGTGTTCATGAAAAAAACAATGCTCTGTTTGTCTACAGTGTAATGCTGGAAGAACTGTTTGGTTCTGTGTAAATCTCAACAGCTTATTATTTTTGAGTTAATTGCTATTTGTTCAACTCCAAGAGTGATCCAGGTGATTCACAGGGTGCTAGACCTACTGGTCTATCTGTCTACATGCCTAAATTTTAAATGACTTTTTGAGGTGAACCTTATTAAACAAATACAAAAAGAACCATGTGAAGAAAAGACTGCATAAAGCTGAGTCACTCCACAGTTTGAACAGCGAGAAGAAGATGAAAGAGGTGAAAACAGATGTACTGGGAGAAGGTTATCTATAATACTGAGTAGTGGAATAGATACTGGCAAATACCTAATGATGGTGCCAAGGTTTTGAGCCTGATAAGAGAGTTGAGATGACTGAAGAGACAAATGGGATGTGACGGAGAAAATTAAGAGGAAAAAATAACATACTTTTGTTTTGAAGAATGACAGTCTAATGTAGTCATCCAGAGCCAGCAGCGGAGAAAGCAGCAGGGGCAAGGGTGCTGGATAAAGCCAAGAGGCAAAAAACAGGCTTTGAGGGGCAGTAGGAGAAGATGAAATTGAAAAACAGGTGTAGAAATAGAAGAAAACAAACAAACAAAACCATCAAGAACCACAATGGGGAAAAAGGAACTAGGACACTGCAAGTACCTCACATTTCCCTAATCCATCTATTCATGAACTGATTGGACTGTGTATTAAAGTACACAAGTAAGGAACTTCTCCCCATGAACTGATTGGACTGTGTATTAAAGTACACAAGTAAGGAACTTCTCCCCTTGTCCTCACTGATAATGAGCTATATAAGTGATGGAAGCCTCAGACAGGTATTCAATAGACAAAATGCAATAAAAATAAAAGTTAAAATATTAGCCTTTGAGGAGTGGCCCAACCTCTCAATGGCATGGGTTGCCTGATGGTCCTGTCCATGCTCCTTCCATGGAGGTCATACCTGGGAGGCATTGCTCTTGCAGCCTTCCATTTCACGGGCAGCAGGACACCTCCATCTCCATGATTCTGGTCTCAATAGTCATAAACTTGCAATGCACTGTACTACTTTGCTGTCAGGGCTGAAGTACAAAGTGGAAAAATCTGAAATTACATTCAAAGAACAGAAACAGTGGGTTTGACCACCTGTGTTCACAACATCTATATAGCATCAATGAGACAAGTATAATTATGGTTTTTTACTCTCATATTCCACAGAGACTTAATACTTCCCAGCTTCACCTACTACATACATGGAGAGAATGAATACTTACAAAGCATTCTTGAAATCACAGAGACAAAAAGAATCACAAAAATATTAGTTTGCAATTTTTTGGAGCAGTGAATGACACTGCAGCAATCCTAGCATGACCACGCACTCACAGACCTCTTGGTGACCGGAGGACTGTGCTGTTTAAACTACCAATTATCTTGCTACAGCTCCTGAATGGCACCATTTTGTTGTTAGAATGAACAAAGGATGCCTACGAGGGAGTGAAATGTAAGGTGCTGAGAGGAAAGTTTTCTGTGTCGTGCTGGGGGAATGTGGGCAGCATGGCTAACATGACAGGACATGATGAATGATGTTACACGAAGAGAGGCTGGGCCAGATGTGTGCATGCAGTGAACGTCTGTCCTCGATGAGCTGGGTAATTTAATGGGAGTGAGCAAAGAAAAGCTGCTTTCTGTAACAGGATTTCATTCCCCTTTCTTTGTCAGGACCTTTCATTTAGAAATGCTACTCTTGTAGCAATTATGGCCATGGGTTACACTGTGTTGACCCATTTTGACACGAGGCTAACACAGTGGAACACCTTCATCTGCAGGCAGAAGTGATTGTTCTCCCTTCAAATCAAACCCCCAGGAACCAAGTTTGCTGTTGACGAAATGATCATCACCTAAATTGTTGACAATTAGCATAAGCAAATTTGACTCTAGGTATACACTGCAAATTCACTGAAACTGGTATTAGGTATTCAGAAACAATGCACAATTAAAAGTGTCTTGATTGATCTTTTAGGATTGACTCTAAAAACCAAGAAAAAAAAGAAGTTTCATCTAAAGACAAAAAAAAAGTTTCATTACATTTGTGGAATTAAAAGAAAAATTGTTTATGCAAAATTCTGATAAATAAATTACTTTAATCAAGAATTTTGCCCACCTCTGATTAGCAATGCTATATCACTGAAGTCTTTTATAAGTAGATAATATTCAGTTCCAGAACACAGCTAACATCTTACTCTGCTGACTATCTGGATGTATTATTGAAGGCAATATGTAGAGAGGTTAAAGTGTTAATCAGTTAGAATTTATTCAGTCATCACAGCACTTCTAACACCAGTTGCCAGAAAAGAAATAAGGGAAACTAATGAAGTTTCCTCTGAGTAGAGATTTTCTTTACTCTGTAGTTTTCTGTCTTAGCTAATGAGACACACAGAAACACATGACTATAGTAAGGTCTTTTTTGTGTAGTTTTGCACTGAAATCTCCTGTGTTTGCATCTTCCTGTACTGAGAAAGCTTTTTTGTTATGTTACAGGCTATCCCCAGCACTGTTGAGAGATGGCCTCATGCAAAGAGATGTTAGGGGTGGGTGGGGTCAGCACCACTGTAATGTAACATTGCAGCCCATAGTGGTGAAACATCAACGTTAGACGCAGCAAAGCAAAATGTAGACAGTCTGTGGTTTTAGACTAAAGAAAAGTGTATGTACAACTTGCAAAGCATTCTGCAGCTTGCTGGTGATCAGATCTCTAGAAGAACAGTATTTTTGTACAGCTAAACACTATATAAAGTGAGTGATTAAGTGTTTTTCAGGTGTTTTTTTTCCTTTTGACTGACAAAATTTCAAGCAGATTAACAACAAAATTAATTAATGTAAACTTTATGTGACTCTTCATTGACTGTCAAGGATAACTAAGATAATAGACCCACCAGATAAATAAGCATGTTCCCCTGCTGAACCCATTTTTTATCTCAGTGTATTACAGTGAGTTGTCCTTTCAGTGGATGTTTGGTGAGGAATCATGTTTTTCCGAGGCCCTTTTTAAGACAGACAAAAATGAATTGGTCCCCCTTTACTGATCTACATAAGGCAATTTATCTAAACGTTGTAATGTAGTCATATATAAAAGTTATGGCAAGTCCTTCACTGCTTAAACCATGTAGCGATTAACTATATTTGTGTATTTATTTCAACATGCTAGAGATGTCAGTCATGGGACTTACTTAAAAGTGCATCAACAACTCCCTTTTCCAGGCAATTATATTTAAGAAGTCTTTAATTTTGTTGTACCTAGAAGTAATCACAAAAAGAAATATGTCTTTAACAATGTATGAAAATGGTTTGGATATATTAAAGTTACATCTAAGCACGAAATTAAAACAAAACCTGTCATAAGAACAGGATTTTATTATGAAACGCTCATAAGCAGCTTTGTATTTTAGTACTTTTATATGGGCATATAAATGTCAGCAGTTTTCTTTCTATATTTTTTCTCTTCTCTGGGTCACTGGGAGAGTAACAAGAAAGCAGAATCTGGCCTTTAGCATACAGTCTTACCATTTCCCATGGAGCACATAGTGATCTAAAATGCACAATAAAACACACATTAAATGATTGTCATGGAGTGAATGTCATGATTGTTACAAGATCCAGATCCATTATACTGGAGAGCAAGTGCAGCATTAGATGTTCACAGTCCACACCAATTGCAGGGATATCTTGTGTTAGCATTTGTTGGCATTGCTTCAGGAGGAGTTTGTGTGAGATAGTCAGAGCCATCAGCTCAGAAGAGTTTCTGCCAGCCCTGGAATTCGATCCTCCTCCCAGTCCTTACATCACCCCTCAGAGCTGAGAAAGCTAAAACTCATCCAAACTGGTATTTTCTTATGCCAGCTGGCAAAAGTGGCCAAGCAGAGCACCAAGGACTATAGTGGCCTTCCTAAAAGGGACAGGACAACTTGCAGCCCTCAGTGTACTAGCAAGGTCTGAGGAGTGAGCTCATCAAGGTTCAGTCCCTAGTCTTTCTGGCCCTCTTTCATACTGGAATAACAGCAATCTGATAGGAATGGGAATAAAGTAAAATCAACAAACTTTTGCAAGATTTTGAAGTGACAGTATCACTGGTGGATGGATGATGATGCAAAAGGGTGGTGGTGTTTTAGAGGCGCTAAGTGATCCACCCAGTGGTCAGGCACACCACCAGCAGTCATACATAATGAGGCAAAAATGCAATTTTGGAAATACCTAAGTATGTTGGCCCTTGACAAATACTATGTATGGGGGCTTTTTTTTGGTCTTAGAAGTAAATAATGTATGTTTTATAACCATCAAAAAAAATTTTTTTTTTTGCTTTCCCTCTTCAGATCATCACAAGAAGAAATGACAGATAACTACTGTCCAATTAAATAGACTGATTGATGCTTTTAACATTGATATTCTTTTTTTCTCCCCTTTGCATTTGGAAACCATAGAGAAGAAATAGCAGCTATGCAACTTCAAAGCACTTTCTAGCACTGGATGTCATTAGGAATATTACAGCTGTTCTTCCTACTGTGATGACTCTGGCTCTCACATGCAGCATGCTCTAAACAACAGTAAGCAGGAGGTGGATGATAGTTTACTCATTTTAAGTTTTGGTATAAGTATATACCAGAAGGTATGTGCCTTCCAATTTGATCTCAGTGTCTGCTGGCCTTGCTCACAGCACAACCATGAGAGCCTTGACCCAACCAAGATGCTTTACTGGTTCATGGACTGAACATGTAAACCACCAGGAAGGGGTGGGTGTGTGCTTTGGTGGGTGCCACGAAGAGTCCCGAGCAAGGTAGAACTGCAGGATGGCAGAGCAGCTCTAACCAGTGTGATTGGATCCATCCTGAGCCTTTGCTGCCAGGGACCAAAAATTACAGCATTTCAGGAGGAGTTATTTAGTTTATCTGCTACAGGAACAGTGACATGAGGAGACTTTATGTCCAGAACGTCCAGGACATCATACCTTCAGCTTCATTTCTGTGTTAGATTGTCAAGCACCCTGATGTAACTGGGTGTATGGTTTGTATAGAAAAACTCCCTTCCCAGACAAAAATGGCACTACTGGTCACTCATACTAGTATAAGGCCAAGGCAGGTATTAGTCGCTCAGTATCTTGTTTGTCATCTCTCTTGCTAATCATCAAAATTTTACCCTCCTAAACATATCAGTCCTCTTCTTCCCATAGCAGGCCATCATCCTGCATTGCTTTTGCAGAATCATGGAATATCTTGAAGAGACTCACAAAGATGGTTGTGTCCAACTCCTGATGTGAGCATAAGCCAGACTCTTCTGCGAAAGACAGAAGTACTAGATCCACCTGTATTCCTTCTGGTTATTCCCCTCTCACATCCCTCACAGGGCACACCATGTATATGCTGATTCAGTACAATACACAATGCTACCAAGGGAGCAGAGTGACAGGAATGAGATGTCTTGGTACCAAACTGGGACATTCCCTTTCTGGGAACGCTCAAGGCCTGATAAGTTTGCATTTCCTCTGCACAGAGACAAACTCCCCCAGTGAGAGAAGCAGTTTAGCCAGGGCTTGCCATTATTAGTTAGTATTGTCTGACACTGAACGCATTGTTATCAGGCCTCTAAGGTATCACATTTGATGGGCACAATTCACACTTCTCAGAACCATTATTCCAAGCTTCCTGCCAGCTCCTTAGTTTACTCAGGCTTCATATTTCCAAGGTTATTTTTGCAGTGACAAAGGCTGGAAATGTAAGGCCAGATTCTTTGCCAGAAAGAACTGGCACAGTTCCACTGTCTGTGCCCTGGGGCACTGTGGGGAAGCTGACGGGCTTGGGGAAAGCCACGGCTGCCCCAATTTCTCTGCTGCAATTTCTCTTTTACTTTACCATTGTAGCCAGGTGGGTGTTGGGCTTCTCTTCACTCAGGCTCCATGATCCAGCCTCTGCTGTACTACCAGACCTCCAAGTTTAATATCCACAGGCAGAATCTTGCAAATGAGAATCATGCATCAGGTGATAACATTTTATTGAAGGTGGGTAAATATAGGGTCCAAGACACAAAGTATCATGAGCCACAAAC